CTGAACGGTTGTTCAAGAGACAGTCAAAGTGATTTCGCCAGATCTGCATTATGTCTGTAGTCTATGTGCAGGTAGCGCCTGAACTACCATCGATCAGCGTCCTCAGCGGCTCCAATCTCGGTCCATACACCGCCTTCAAGGAGTCAAACAATTCCTTGTGTTAGCGGCGTTCGGCGTAGCAGTTCATCTTCTTCGCCTTCTCCGTCCGCCATGCACTTTTATGCGACGGATCTCTCGGGTCAGTCGCTGTTGAAGTTTGCGAAACTGACAATTCTTCCCCAAATCACTGGGGTTTGCCACATGTGCAGCAAATGCCGCGTTCTTCTCACACATCAATGCGCCAATCGTCGCATTGTTGTCATCAAACCAATCAGGTCGCTTACAGTTTGTGCGCTTGATGGTCTCCTCGGCAGCAGCTGTCATCTGGTCGCAAATGTGGTGCCACAGGTCGCCCACTGTGGCTATGCCTTCCACATCACACAGTCGTGCAGCCATCGCCTTCTCCAGCTCAGTACGTTTCGCCCCAGTACCGAGGGAGAGAATGTTAAATTTACGCCGATTCACTGCGAGAGTGCAATACATCGATTTACGAAAATATATGTACAGTTTGGTCCGAACCAATTTGTGATCAGTGCCACACTCAGCTCCAGACAGTACACTTGTCATGCGCACTTCACGCATGTCACGCTGATGTACGATGACATAGTCGAGCAGGTGAGGGTGACCAATCTTTGGGTGCGTCCAATTTGCTATATCACTGGCACTCAGTGCAAACCGAGTGTTCCTGATCGTCAGACCGTGAGTAGCACACAGTGAGAGCAGCATGGCACCGATCGCATTCGCTGAACCAATGCCATGCGAACCGATAACATCTGTCCACATCGATGCATCACACCTAACGCGTGCGTTGAAATCACCCAGCAGACATAGTCGGTCGCTTCTGGACATAGACCGTATCTCTAAGGATAGCTCAGTATAGGATTGATCCCTCGTGTCATCAGGATAACACATGGTCGGGCCGTACGTGCTTATAAAAGTAGTAAACTTACCTCTTCCGAGTCGTAGGCGAACAGTCACCAGTCGCACACTGATGCCCGTTGGTTCACCCACCAGGAGGTCATGGAGGCGGTCTGCTATTGCAAATCCGACCCCATGATTACGTGGTGCGGAGGCGGCGTTGCCCACCCAGTAGAATGTGTAGCCAGCATCTGCTTCATGCATATGTACATACAGGGTGCACGCATGCAGGAAAGTGATCATGATCCATAGAGCTGGAAGCGGTAGCATCTGATCAGTTAGTCAGAACAGATCCCAAATGTCGCCCACATAAGGGAATGTTGCTTAGGATGGAACAATGGTATAGTACAGGCAAAAAAGCGGATGCATAGCAAGTCCCGTATGATGGCCAAAAAGAGAACCACACCATGGTGAATAGAAAACAGGGATAATTTAAAAATGGTTTTAGTGGACTCACCACAGTTTTAACACAGAGGCACGCAAAGAACCAACCACAGTTGCGTAGGTTAATTCTGGTTGTGCAACGTTCGTCGCATTATATCTTCTGTCGAGACATACAGGCTACATCTCGTAGTGTAGGTGGGTTAAGGCAACATCAAGGCGTTTTTTAAACACAGGTAAAGTGGGGGCGGAAACAACGTAATTTGGGCGTTCCAAGACTGGCACACAGAAAAATAGTAAAAGTTCTGTCGACATGCTCGCTGGCTGTATTGCGAGGTTGACTTGAACTGATGACCGCTCAAATTAATGTTCTGGCTCAGTAGGTTGTATCCACCTATTTACCAAACAATAACTCGGCAAAAAGCATTCATTCACGATCAGGTCACGCAGTGAAGCATTTGCTGTCTCACCCAAATGGTTAGATGAAGAATGTATTGTGCATAGGCTGGGAGATTGGGGATGTGCATGTAGTGTTGAGGGGATGCAGTCCAGGATCGATGCTCGGCTCATGGGGTCAAGGCAACCAACTCTGAGGATCGGAAACAACATGCATGTGGGTCCATAAATACACGCAGGTTACCCTTCAGAACTTGGCAGTGACCAGCTTGAATGCACCGTAGGACAACGTGTGCACATGTGGTATTCGGCTGCGAAGAATCTAAGAGCAGTTCTTGCATAATTCGACAATGTTGAATTCAAATATGACATTGATTTTTCTCTCAAAGCCCCAGATTTTTGCAAAATGACCTATAAAGAAATTTTTGCAAAAGATGAAAGTGTTCACAACGGTGGTCTACGATACGTTGTATCCTAAATATAAAAAGTGATGCAGACATATCCTCAGCAAACCATTTTCATTAGTCACGACATAAGCACAAAGCTAGATTCATGACAGGCTTTATCCGGGCAAGAATTTGCGTTTGTACTTTTGTGTCGAAATGTTTTCTTAGGGCAGTCAAGTTTGATGTTCCAAAGATAGTCAGCGTTCATGTGTTTGTTCCATCGTCCCAGATAAAATGTTTTCATCGTCATCATACTTGAGGAAAATGTTCCCATGCTCGTCATTTACCGCCCAAAGGTTAACGGGGAAGTGAGCAAGATGAGCGTTCAAGAAATGCAGTTTGACACTCATGTTGCACTCTAAGTTGCAAAATGCCAAAAGCATTGTGTTAACCTTTTCTCATAATTATCCGATTCATTGTCCCCATGAAAGTGCTGTATAACTGCCAAAAATGACTGCCACACATTCATCTGCTTGGCGTGGGTCTTTGAGACTTCTGCATCACGCACCAGAGTACGACTTTGAGGGCCGCTGTTGACTGAATTACTGGGGAGCCAATCACGATGCAGCATCAGTTGCGGAGTCTTCATAAGTTGCTCTTCACCTAACTGAGCCCTATCTTCAGGCCCACTGAATTCATCATCCGACGAAGCAAAACCTCTAAACATTTTGGAAATGGAAACGCGTCTGGGTGTCAGATGGGTTGATTTGCAGAGGAAATACTGGGATAAGAGATGTTTTGCTAATATTTTCTGCCAATACATTTTGTATTAACCATGCAAGATCTCACTGTTATGTGGTTGGCAGATTCTCGCCAAACCAAAGGAACTCCACATGGCAGCCCTCACCGTTTACCCTTTATCCACTCACGAAGCATTTCCTCGTCATAACTGAACACAATATGAGGAGCCCTTTTTGGTCACCAAAGAGGTATTTCAAAGTATGCTTTATAGACACATTTTACAAAAGAAATAGCATTTTTCCCTTAAAGAACGAGCGTATAACAACCGCATATATGGCAAAATGCATCAGATTCATTTACAAATTTTGCCGACCTCAGGGAGCCATGGTCATGACTGAAACGAAAGTGAGTTGGCATTTAATTTCTATTTATGTAACATTTCACAATGCTCGAACCCTAGAGCATGCAGAAAAAAAACGGGTTTCTGAGTTGAAATCAGCATGTGTTACATGTAGAGTCAGTTTACATTTCTCTTATAAGAGCAAGTTACAGAATAATTGTTATCCTGTGTAATCAACGAGTCACTGTACAGTAAGCCATCACTTGCTGTATCATCGGTCTATAATGTATCAGCAGGGGATCTTTGATGTTAAACCTGGTCGATCAAGGATCGGTGACTCTTAAGCAGTGAGATTACTCGTTACACATTGAAGTACTGATGATGCAACCTCAGTTGGCGGCAAAGCGTATTTAATCAAGCTGCTCAGTTCAGTAAACAATCCAACAACTGAACAATGAACCCAGGCTGACAGTATGCTAAATTGGTTCTAACAACTGATTATTTTCCTTATTGTATAATGCATGAGAGTTGTCTTTATTTACAACGCGGATACAAGGAGTTCAGAACGCCAAGTACCCGCTTATACTTGCCATTCATATAGGTGACAAATCGATCAAACAAACAACCTGTTCTCAGCAGTGTTTATATATTGGTTCAGTACACACTCCATCGAGAAAGGTGTAGGTGTGTGTCCTAGGCTCCAAACGTAATGTGCGTGAGTACGTTGATCGGTTCGTCGTCATTCACAGCAGCTTGTATTCAGTGCTCGAGTTTCGTTTTGAATCTGAACAAAATCATGCCATTAAAGGATAACCGAGCTAGCAAAGTGGATCCAGTCAGTGTCGCGAGAGTGTATAATAGGCGTGCGGGTCGAGGATTCCGAGGACTTCGTGTTCATCGTATAAGTAGCTACGTACACGACCTAGGTTGTACCAGATCTGTGGAGCTGCAATGGAAAGCAAATACTTCGTGGTTGGCTGGATGCTCATCTCACAGCCACCTAGTAAGAGACCACGGTAAACAGAACGTGAAGGTAAAGAGAAGAGGAAGTATCAGTAGCCGTCTACCCGAGGTACAACGATCTCCTTCCCTTGGGGATTTCCGCAAGGTCACGCTCGGACCTGCACAGTGTACGTAGTGATCCACGGTTAGCCACGTACAGATAAAATAGGATGTACCCAGCTAAATAAGGGCATTTTCGCGTTTATCCCACGATTGAATGGAGTGGGAGTTCAATTACCACCACAGCAAAGTATTGCGCGTTGCAGTGATGCCTTTTCATGGGTAAACAATTAGATGTGGCATGGAGAGTAAGACAGAGTAACTACACGACAGAGTGCGACAGAACAAGGACTCAAATTTTAAACACGCAAAGAAATCGGTGGGCATTCTGTTAAACCATTGTTCAAAACTAGCGAAGCGTCATTTTGTACCGTTAAGAAGTGTTGTATTAGTGGTTTCCTACATCTATCTATTGCGCCACGCTCTCATACAATAGAATCGGAATCGAAATCCCTCGGTCCGGCTGTTTTCTTGGCTTCCTCATTTCGTGGCGGGTTGAACTGATTGGGGGCAACACAGCTGATTCAGGCAGGTTATCCGTAAAGTCAACGGAACCCAGAACACATTTCTAGCGACGGTCAGCTGCACGTTAGTAGCAGGTTAGCTTTACATTTTAGCGGCACTACAACAAGAACACTAAATGGATAAGTTGAAAAGCTTGCCAGAAAATAACTAACCTGACAGTCTTCATGTGTGTCTTTGTGTTCAGCAATATGCTTTGTTGATTTATTAATGCACCAGTAAACAGCTGAAGGAAACTGCGTGTAATGGCGACAGAGTAGCTTATTCACTCATAGATAATGTACGCAATCATAAGCACAGGAATAAAAACACGAACAACTGAAATCGATTATTGGTGGGGAAGATGTTTAACTGGGTATTTGTACGAAATTCGCATAGTCGAATGCAGAAGAAAGGGCACTCGGAGATTATTGGCAGCGGATGAAGTAGGTTGACAATTTAGTAGTTCGCAGTCATCAGATGGGAGGTGTTTGCTAAAATTCATAACTTGTGAACACAAAATTTGTTAACGTGCAACGTTCAAATTCTTTAAAAATAATAGTCCATGGTGAGGGTAATCTCACGAAAGTGTCTTTTTCTCTTTGAGCATACCGAAACAGTAGAGGCAACACATCCAGAAACAATCATTGGTTTGTTTTTCGTTCTGTAAAGATGTATGGCACGAAAACTTTGACACAGATAAAGAAGGAAGAGGAAAAGTTCGCCCCTGCAATTAGCATGCTTCGCAGGAGGAAAGAATGCTTTCGTCGTTTAACTACACGAAGTTAGTGCATTGGGTAAAATAAAGGCCACATATATCTTGAAGTGCATGTCATTACTGGATAGCGAGTTGTGTAGGGTTGATGTAACAAAGATTCCGAAAGCCTTAGCATTAATGAGGAGAGGGACTGTGAGAGTCCGAGTTTTTTCCCATGATCAAAACAATGTGATATCCAGCGTAGGACGCAATTGCAAAGGTGGATTCAGCATATGATATTCACTTAGATTTATTAACTGGTACATCATTATGAGATCCACTAGTGGCTGATGATGTGAAAGGGTCTACAGCTCAAGTCGCCTGCATCGGCCATGTACAACGAATTTCCTAATCACAGGCAGTAGTTGGACCGTGGCAGCTGACACTGGAGAAGGTGTCGAGGTGATCTACCTAGATTTTTCCAAGGGTTTCGATCGTCTAGCTAATCAGATACTACTCTCCAAGCTTCAGCATTACAGGAGCAGCGACCATCTTTTAAGGTGGATTGCCAACTTTCTACTTCAACGGAAATTAGTGGTCAGCGTTCGGAGCTCTCCATCGCACCCCATACAGATCGAGTGTTATGTGCCACGAGGCTCAGTTCTAGATGCACGCTTGTTTTTGGTGTTTATGAATTAGCTTGCACAGGGACTCGCTTCAAACTTCCTAATGTTTGCCTACGAGATCAAGATTTGGCGCACGATTCAGCCGAACACCGACCAGCATCTGCTTCAGAGTGACTAAATACAGTGTATCAATGATCAATCCAGACCTTACTGCATTTCAGTGTGAGTAAATACAAGGTACTTTTCATTCCACACCAGAACACCTACTCATACCGGCTCGGAACGGACATACTGCAACAATCAACTCTCGGACGTGACTTGGGTGTCCTGGTTCAAGATGACTTGTGTTGCTCCAGGCAATCCGAAAAGGCCTCGAAGACCGGGAACCAACACGTCGGGCTGTTGAGGCGGGCTTTTGGACAAATAAACAGCTCCATATTTCGACACATACTCAGTGCGTATGTTCGCCCCCCCCCTGTCGAATACGCAATTCAAGCCTGGCATCCATGGCTGAAACACGACCTTAATGCACTGGAGCAGCCACAACGCCGGGCATCTAAGAACGTAATTGGAATGCGCAAGCTTTCATAACAGGAGAGGTTGCAACGATTGGGGGTATTCAGTGGAGGCTATCGCAGATAATGAGGCCACCTGCTTATGGCATACTTGATTCGGCGAGACTCACATCATGTGTGCCGCCCTGTACTGCAACTCAGCAGCAATGCAAACCTGAGGGGCCACTCATTAAAACTCGCAGAACAATACAGTCGTCTGGAGTGCCGCAGAAATTGCTTTTCCATCCGTATCTGTCACCGGTGGCATGCTCTCTCAGAATCGGTCGTCTCTGAACCGAGACAAACAATATTGAAAAGGCGGTTGGATGACGCACTCATTCAGTTAAAATTTGTCACGGCGCTACGTCTCCATCCTACACCTGGAGTTAACCATGGAATTATTTGTTGTTAATTTCGAGTGCTGTGAATCTAAGCGGATTGCCGGACTACGGTGTAGCAGACGATAAGTCCTCATTATCACATTTAGAATACTAACTGTTTTACTACCATTATTATTATTATTATTACTGTTATTGTCATTTCAATATGCCCACTAACTATCCAACGAGACTTGTAAAGCGACGGTACTTAACCTGTATAAGTTCTTTGCTCATTGATCATTGGTCTTCGCACGACGTATCCCGTAAACTGTGGATAAACCAGTTAGCGACATGCTAACCACTTTCCAATTTTTGCATATCACTACTGGTCATTGGACAATAGGCGAGTGAGCGGTACTAGAGCATTGGTGTTATACTGGAAGAGGGGTAGCAATTTGCAATCTCTCAATCACAAGCGTAGAAATTGTATTTAAGCGCCCAAAAACCGTAGTTCGCTTACACATAACCTGCTCGTATCTTCCATTATGTTTGTTTTTCTAACCATTATGTTACGAAGGAAAAGCAAAATACAAAATGTCTCCATAATTCGGTTCCTTTGAGTAGCCCACTGAAAACCGTTCGAACTAGACATCAACTGCACGAGCAGAGTGAAAATCGGATCATCGACGAGAAACTTGTACCAGTACCAGTACATTATTAGCACGAGTACATTTGTGGAAAGAAGCTGTCATGCAGAAAACTCTGTACAAGTACTTCTTGTTACTTCTATCCAACTGGTACTCCACAGCTTTTGTACATTCCAGTATCAGGTTCTGTTTCTTTCGGACATAGCAGCCTAACCGTTCCTACCGTCAGGCTGATTCCGAAAGCCAGCTGTGTTTCTTTAGATTCTCTGTTTCATCTTTCAGTCAAAAATGCTAAAGTTGAGGTTCCACCTGCAAATGAATTCTAAAAGTTAGTATTAGATACGTCCAATTAGCCCCTACACGCAACTACGGCCGCTGCACGTCTTGTTGCACTCCGAGAAATTAGCTTCAAGATAGGGGTTGCGGATTTCTTTTTAACATTCCTCGGGTCACTCCTTCTTTCTTTGGGTTCTTCACAAGATCTTCTCAAAGCTTTCCACTTTTAAGCGGAGGTTGGAAATGCTTAGCGAACTCAGTGTTCACCACATATTATCCAAATCTGAGCACAGTTCCACAACCTGCTAGGCGACTGCTGAAACTATTTATGTTTCATATTGAGCTACAGGAGGATATCCGTTCGGGTTCCCTTTTTTCTCTCGCTCTCTTAGTCCTGTTACCTAGCTTATAGGCCTATGTTACACACAGATGATTTATTGATAGCTTCTCTTACTTTTCTTTTTTACAACCCGTCTAAATCTGTGTTTATTTTTGTATCTTTCCACTTGGTTGCTGCCTCCAATTTGATTCCATTTCCTGTATTCACAATCAGTTAGTCCCTGATATTTATCGGAATAGCTCTACCGACTCTGCCTGAAGATCTGCTGAATAAATTAAAATGAACTCCAAGAAAGATGTAAGTAATAAAAGCTATTCAGTCCTATCCCAGTATCTGCTCCAATGCCTGACATTTTTACCTTCATTAACATGCTGTTGAGGTAGGTATGATGGGTTGGTTTCCTTGGTCGATATCATTTCTCGCTATCACAATAAATATACAATTTATTGAGCTACACAATCCGTTGTTGTTAATCAAAGCTAAAATTAGAAAATGCCAGTTAATGCTATGTTTTTACATAGGATTCCCAATAACAACAGCCGCTATCAACCGGGAATCACTGGGCCGCTGTTACGTTGTTTGCCGATTTTTCAGTGCAGTGCAATGAAGTACCAACTGAGGGTCATGGAGGCGTAACTACCTATGAACTGCCTATGAACCCGAGCAAATGCTAGTAACTCACAGGACCCTCAGTCGTTTCAGCGCAACAATGAATTGTAGGAAGGTGGATATGACAGTCGAACTGTGCGCGGAAGGGAGCTCAGTAATCTGCCGCTAACACTATTGCGAACTCAGATGTTAGGGTACTGCATACATGCCTGGTTCACACATTTTGTTGGAACATTTTTCGGGTAAAGAGGTCAAAAAGAATGCATAACTTGACCACATCAAACAGGTTCTTAAAAAGTAGAGGCATCACTTATGCAGATCCGCTGAACTTGTTTTGGGGTCTAACATCCAGTGTAGAACGAGCTTGCGAGCTTGTGACCTCTACAGCGTGTGCGTGCTGATCGTACAATTCTGTGCTCTGGGTTACATTGGACTAATCCCCTCACATTCTCGTGCCACCTCTTTGGAAATACGCTCAATCGATTCGGATCACCGAGCTTTAACCAACGGGGGCTATATGTTTGAGGTAAGTCTAACGACACGCTAGTCAACCACAAAAGACGTCTTCGGAAGTCTACTCAGTAAGGCTAAAGTGTGTAACTGCTAATTTGTGTTTTACCAGTACTTTTGAGATACCATTCAGCAGAGCTTACTTAAGGCTGCCAGACGACATATAACTTAGTACTGTGCACCTCTGTATATCATGGCTACATGCTTTTTGTCGTATCACCTTAACACCGTATAGTTAGATGCATTTCACTGAACCAAGCCTGTGTGATTTTGGTTACTCGTGCGCATAGTGACACACCACTACCAACGCGCTGACACAGATATCGCTGACCGAAGCGGACAACTGAGGTAGCCCAAACGGCGTGACCAGCGCAATATAAAACTGCACATGAACCATTGAGTCATGGACCGGAGAAATTCCTCGACCGGGCATCCAGTGAGCAACAACCACAAGGTCAATCGTAGCTCAGACAAGCGGGGAAACAACGTGTTCGTTCTGTGTCAATTCCTATAACGCAACAAATGTAAAAAACTTACGTGCAACGGAGGTAACAGCCTGTTGACAGATAGGTTGTGGTTCTGTGACTTATGTTCAGGTAGTCCACTAGGTA